GCAGGCGGCTTCCGCGTCTGCCTCGTCCGCATCTCCTGCGCGGGACCACCACCTGCCTTCTGGGTACTTCGGTGCCTTTATGGCCTCGATTGCGGAGGAAACGTCCCCGGCTCTTCCTCGCTCCGATGGATCGTCTATCCTGATGTTGGTGGATAGCGGAGCGACGGACAACTATCTCGATCCTGCGCTTACGCCTGGCGTACGGGCTCACATGCGCGACATCGAAGACCTTCGGATTCCGCTTNAACAAGGGAACCGTCATCCCCCGTAGCGCACGCATCCATGTGCTACGTGCGGATAAGGGGACCGAGTTTACGAACGCGGCTTACCGACAGTACTGCCTGGACGTTGGCATTCAGCTGCAATTTGCGTCTCCAAACACCCCCCATCAGATCGGAGCGAATGAGCGTGCCGGCCGAACGATCATGAACATCGTGCGTTGCATGCTCGCTGATTCTACGCTGCCGAGCCTTCTTTGGGGAAAACTGATGCAGACGGCAGTCTACCTGAGCAACCGGACTCCTCATGCAGCCTTGCACAACGGAACGCCGTACAAGGCGCTATTTGGCACGGACGCGCACCTTGGACACCCTCGGGTGGTCGGGGCACGGGCGTTTGTGCATGAAGAGACGCACACTAAGAAATTGGACAGCCGTGCATGGGAAGGACGGTTGGTGGGCTACAGCCTGGACAGCAAATCCTACCGTATCTATAACGCTCAGACGAGACGGGTGCGGGAGAGTCGCAACGTTATCTTCATCGAAACGACCCCCTCGCCGCCTTCGTTGGACGAGCGTGGGTTTGACGACGGGGAGTTCACTTACNATTTGGCACGGACGCGCACCTTGGACACCCTCGGGTGGTCGGGGCACGGGCGTTTGTGCATGAAGAGACGCACACTAAGAAATTGGACAGCCGTGCATGGGAAGGACGGTTGGTGGGCTACAGCCTGGACAGCAAATCCTACCGTATCTATAACGCTCAGACGAGACGGGTGCGGGAGAGTCGCAACGTTATCTTCATCGAAACGACCCCCGCGCCGCCTTCGTTGGACGAGCGTGGGTTTGACGACGGGGAGTTCACTTACGCCGACCACGACGACATGATCCGAGATGTGCGCAACTACACCACCAACCACTCGGTCGATGCGCTTTCTCCCACTCATGCCGTCGGGGATCCGTCTGTTCTCGAGCTTCTCGAGGACATCTCCACCGTCCACAACCGTGACCTTGGGACCAACTCCGCAGACCCTGCTCCTGCCGCAGAGGATGCGCCTGCGGACGACAGCCTTGCCTCGCCTGGAGGAGTCAGCCCTCCTGAGCCGGGTGACGGTGCATCATCACCGGCCGCATCGTTGTCTGCTCCTGCTCCGGCCGGTTCAACATCCAGTCCTGCGACGCCGCCTCGAGCGTCGGGTACTGGTTCTGCTCCAGTTGGCGCTGCATCGCGGGGTGGTTCTGCGCGTGGACGTGGTTCATCTCGTGGTGGCAGTGACGCCCGCGGTGGCTCTTCGCGTGGTGCATCTACGCGTGGTGGGCGTGGCTCGGTGAGTGGACGTGATTCTCGTAGTGGACGCAGCTCCACGTCAGCTCCTCCTGACACCAGGGTTACCCGGGCAATATCGCGCGTGCCCAACAAGAAGACCCTCAGCGAACTTCGTCGACTCTCGTATGCGTTTCCCGCGATGGGGGAATTTCCTGACGTTGCGCACAGGGACGCCACGTTGGGCTTCACGGAATACGCATACACCGTAGGGGGAGTACAACCAGACGTTCCTAGAACCATTCAGGAAGCACGGGCTTCACCGGACGCAACGAAGTGGAACGCAGCCGCTGAACGCGAGATGAAAAGCCTCAGCGACCGCAAGGTCTACAAGCTCGTCCCGCGCTCGGCCGTCCCTCCGGAAAGGAAGCGCATCAAGTCCAAGTGGGTGTTCAAACGCAAGGCCGACGGGACTTTCAAGGGACGTGTCGTGGCCCAGGGTTGGAACCAAGTTCCCGGACTCGACTGCGGCAGCACCTACGCTCCAGTGTGCAGGATCTAGAGCGTGCGAATGGTGGCGTGCATCACAGTTGAGTTCAACCTCATCTTCGATCAGATGGATGTTTCTACCGCTTTCCTCTACGCGGACATCCAAGAAGAAATGTTCGTGGAACAACCACCCGGTTTCGAGGTCAAGGACAAGGATGGAGGTGACATGGTAATGAAGCTGAAAAAGAGTCTACGGACTTGCTCAAAGCCCAGGCAACTGGTTCAACACCATCGATCCCGTGCTCGTCGAGATTGGATTCGTCGCACTCAAGTCAGACCCGTGCGTGTATTTGTACGATCACAACGGGGCCAAGATCTACCTGACTCTCTACGTCGATGACCTTCTCCTGGCCGGCAACGACTCTGACGCCATTTCGATGGTGAAAGGGAAGTTGCAAAAGCGCTTCAAAATGACCGACCTGGGGGAAGCATCTCTTGTCCTCGGGATGGAAATTAGGAGGGATCGCGAGGCAAATACCTTGACCATTTCCCAGGAAGCGTACTGCAAATCAATCCTTGAACGGTTTGGGATGTCGGGCTCCAAGCCGACCAGTACACCTGGGTACGGCTCCGAAATCTCAAATAATATCCAACCAGAAGACACACTTCTCGACGAGAAAGAGACCCGCAAGTACCAAGGGATCATGGGATCACTCATGTACATTGCGCTAGTGTTGAGATACGACATCATGTGCGCGACAGGTTAGCTGGCTCGCCCGATGGCGAAACCCAGCAAGGTTCACATGGTGGCGGCAAAGCACATCCTTCGTTACTTGGCTGGAACGATCGATATCAGCATCACTTACAAGAAAGGTGGTTTCAAGCTCGCGACTTTCTCGGACTCCAACTGGGCGAACAACCCTGACAACGGGAAGTCCACCTCGAGCTACCTGACGATGCTGGCGAACGCTCCCATGAGCTTCAGGTCAGGGCTGCAAGGTCTGACAGCAATGTCCACCATGGAAGCAGAGCTGGTCGCGTCGGCGCTGGCGATGAAGGAAGCAGTGTTTTGCTCCAACATGATGACGGAACTTGGATTTGGGAAATAATTTGCACAACTGCCCGTGTACTGCGATAACACGGCTACTCTACATGCATTGGGGAACCGGTCCTTCAGCTCGAGGACCAAACACATCGCGTTGCGGTTCTTCTTTATTCGAGAACTGGTGACGGAGGGGAAGATCTCCATCCATTACGTCCCGACGGAGGACAACCTCGCCGACATCGGTACCAAGCATTTCAACAAACACAGGTTCAAACACCTAATGGACCTCATCAACAACTTCGACGTCAACGAGTTCACCGCCGTCGAATATAAAGGAAAATGAATGATTTGTTTGTTTGAATTTTCTGTTTCGGATGCAGTTTACATTTTCATTTNCCGGTACCAAGCATTTCAACAAACTCAGGTTCAAACACCTAATGGACCTCATCAACAACTTCGACGTCAACGAGTTCACCGCCGTCGAATATAAAGGAAAATGAATGATTTGTTTGTTTGAATTTTCTGTTTCGGATGCAGTTTACATTTTCATTTTAGTTATGTAGGAAACAATTACTAACACGTAATTAAAACACGGATGAAACGCATTTACTTGCTTGAAATTATCATCATTGTTGTTGTTGTTGTTGACTTCACATCATTAGTTTGGTACAATTCAGAGCGAATTTCATTGAGGAGGAGTGTTATGGAAATGTTAGCACATAGCCATTATGAGTCAATGTTCAGTAGCACTGCACTTGTACGTCGTAGATCATCGTAGATCTGTTATGTGCCGGTTGGTATGTAACGTGCGTTGTATATGCGGAGGAATTACTTCTGTAGGATTCTTTGTTGCCTTGGCGAGTAGCTCACTCTCTCGTGTGGATCCTTCCTGACTGTCTGGAATCGTAGCCATCCTGGTCATCTCCAGTACCCAGCCATCGTCTGGACTCCTGCATACTCTGCGGTTGTTGATTGGCCCCAAGCCGAGTGCTGCTGGATGAGCACGGTTGTCCCGGTTGACAATGTGAAGAGATGGTAAAGTCGTTTTTATTCGAGCGAAGCGAGATTTCTAATCTTGCCTGAGAAGGCTCAGCGCTAGCTACTCAGCGCAATATAGGGGCCGATGCAGGAAAAAAAGTGCGTGCGTGTGTTGTGTTCGCTTAAACTAGGTTTTAGAGTACAGGACTTGATTTGTGACTACAGGGCGCACTTTTTTTTTTTACACAGCAGAGCAGCAAACAGCAACAGCNCGAGCGAAGCGAGATTTCTAATCTTGCCTGAGAAGGCTCAGCGCTAGCTACTCAGCGCAATATAGGGGCCGATGCAGGAAAAAAAGTGCGTGCGTGTGTTGTGTTCGCTTAAACTAGGTTTTAGAG